CACGAGGTGGCTGGCACTCCAATATGGCAGGCTCTCCAGCTGCCACCACAACATCTGTAGGGTTTTGGCGGAAGTCATCCCGTAGCACTAGTGCAATAAATGAGAGAAAGAGGAAAAAAATGATCAGAAATGATGACATTGTAACTGGGGAAAAAAAGAAAATGCAGATACATATAATACTAAAGAAACAAACAAGTCTCAACTATTAATAGGTGATGACTTTGCATCTTTTATTTACTATAAAAGATCTCATAAACATTGGTGAGGTGTGACCTTTTATCCAACTGAAGCAGATTTCACATACTGGGTTTTTTTTCCTTGTTTTTTTCTCTCTAGATAAGAACATTGCTCTGCATTTAAATTAGACAGATCTGTAGCATATATTAATCTTTTTAACCTTGACAGGGTCACTTCCCACCCTTGCAAAAGTAGCACTGCAGGTGTGATGTTGAGTTCTTTTCAGGAAAGACTTGCCTGTATCTCCATCTTCAGCACAAACGAGATAAAGAAGTGACACAACTGATACCGAATTGCAGAGTTACATCTTGATCAAGGGTATGGTTATTATTCCTATTATTATTGTTATCACCAAATACGCGCCAAAGTGATCACCAGTTTTGAAAGGTGTCAGAGAAATAAAGCTGATGGTAGCACGCTTCCAGAACATTTATTTCTTCCTTTTACTTTTTTAGTTTCGATATTTCTGCAACTTTGAACAGTGCTGTCCCATGACATTGAAAGGAAAGAACATTTAAATCACCAAGCTGTTTGAGAACTAAATTAGGCAACACAGGCCAGCTTCTTATGTAAATCAAGCCTCTATAAAGAAGGATTAGGTCCAACTAGCTGGCTTGAGTGTGTTAAAATGATATCCACTTCATCGTTATTCTTCCATGTGTGTCCTAGTCTCTAGGTTAATTGACATTCCTATAAACATAAAACTGAAAATAGCTCTAGATGAGCTACTGAAATAGAATTTAGGGCATTTCCCCTCCTTGAATTTCAGCTACGTATGGCTTTCATTACAGCTTTAAAACAGTTCTTGCCCTTAATGGAACCAGGGCCCTCTGAGAAATTAGAAAACACTGTATCCTAGTGAAGGGGCAAGTCAGGAAGAGTTCAGCAGAAATTGCTCAGTCTCATTTCATAAGCAGAGATAATTTACTGCTTTCAATGTTAATAAAATGTGCCCCATTTTAATATTTGGAACTGAATACTTTTCTGTTCTGTAATAAGCCAGAAGAAAATATGATTAATACATACAAGAATTGGTCTCTGAACGGGCTGAGGTGAGCACGCTGTGTATTTGTGGCACTCAGAACGACATATGAAGTAACTTCTATTGTTCCTCATTTTGGGATACACAGGTAGATCCCAGAGGAAGGAGGAAATTAATTGAAAGTTAATTCCTTTTCTAACACACAAAAAAGAGAGATTATTGAGGTCTTGCTCTTGGAAACATAAAATAAAAGTGACAGGACACAGCTGGCAACAAATGCACCTCTGGCAAGAATCTGTATTCTTCTTAGGTGACACACTCAATCGATATATTTTTCCAACATATAACTTAATAAAAGACTCAACCTCAAAATATTTCTGATTAGTACAAATCACTCACACGTTTTTGATTCTCAGTAATCAGACAGAAATAGAATGTGCAGAGTTTCAAGATCAAATGGAAGAAATAACTTATGCAATGCACAGCACAGAAATAGTTTGCTGAAGATCATGGGCTGCTGACTGGTTGGCATTACAACATTTTGCAAAGCCAAGAAAGCTGAGAGCACAGCAATTTCAGGGAAAGAACCAGAAAAAGGGTCTTACAAAACCACCTATTTCAGGAAGCATGTTCATGCATCTTTGTGATCACTATGATACACAGGAAGAAAAAATACTTCTAGGCAGTGTTATGCCCTCTTTCATATAACTGGCAAATGGATATAAACATCAACTTCTTCCATTATTATTACACACAAAAGAAATACTATTTTTTATTGGCTTGAATCTTTGTACATTTACAGAATTGCAGTGCAAATCCATCAGTGGAAAATCCCCAGAAAATCAGCAGATCCCCCAACATAATGACTTTGTACTCCTGACTCCTAACTCCTGGCAGCAATATGAAGGAAAACGTTTTCCTTGAACATTTCACACTGCTATGTGAAGCTGACAAATACAGTTTCTTGGAGTTATACACGGCAAATTACATTAACTTTCTCTGAATCATTCCAGCAACTGTGTAAGGTTCCAATCAGCCTCAGAATATGAGGCTAAGAGGTGATTTGATTTTATCACATTCCTTTACCCAAGCCTTACCGCAAATCTGGGTTGAATGGAAGACAAAATTGATGCTACAGGGTTTACTTAATCTTGCTCTGCACCTCAGCACGTATGTGAATCTTGAATAGATATATCTCAGTATTTTCATCTAAAGCATTCTGTGTTTTGGAGAAAAACAAAAAAAATGTTTGGAGAAAATGAAATAGGGAAAAATAAAGTAGGGATAGAAAGACAAAGATAAGAGAAAAATGTGTGGAATATAAATTAAAGAGAGAAAACAACTCAGAGAGGAGAAGAGAGCTTGGCTTCAGAAGAAAGCCACAGCAGAATGGAGCAGCAACTGGAAGTTGGGTTCACACTTATTAGCATGGTAAATGGAAAAGTTGCAGCATGGCTTAGTGCATCCACCGTATCTAATGGCACAATCATCTGTCAAAACAGAAAAATAGTTGAGAGCTGCAAGAATATTCCTCAGCCAATTATCCACAATTGCTGGGTACTTCCAAAAAACTATTAGTGTGCTCGAGCAGATCACCCTCTCCACACACTGGCAAGAAGTTTTTGTTCACTCGAGAAGCCAGCCCTCCTGAGGGCCTCCTTGGCAAGGCACAAATACTAGCGTTTTAAAAATTCAACACAAGTGGTGAAAGGTTGCTATCAAGCTCCTTTTCTTCATCTCCAATTCTTATTTTGCTTTATTTCAATTTTAACAAGTTACACAGCTCCTGCTGTGCTTGCACGGGTGTTACCCTACATCTAACAAGGGATGCCAAAGAGAAAGATCACAGAATTGCCTTGATTGGAAAAGCCCTTTAAGCTCATCAAGTCCAACCATGAACCCAACACTGACAAGTCCCCTATGACTAACCCATGTCCCTCAGCACTGTGTCTGCACAACTCTTCAATCCCTCCAGGGATGGGGACTCCACCACTGCCCTGGGCAACCCCTTCCAATGCCTCAGAACCCTTTCAGCAAAGAAATTCTTCCTCACATCCCATCTCAACTGTCCTGGGCACAACTGGAGCCCATTTCCTCTTGTCCTGTCCCTTGGGCCTTGGTTGAACAGACCCACCCCCACCTCTCTCCACCTTCCTTTCAGGGACTTGGACAGAGCCAGAAGGTCTCCCCTCAGCCTCCTTTTCTCCCGGCTCAACAACCCCAGTTCTCTCAGCCGGGAACTCAGCACACTTGTGCTCCAGACCCTTCCCCAGCTCCGTTGCCCTTCTCTGGACACGCTCCAGCACCTCCATGTCCTTCTTGGAGTCAGGGGCCCAACACTGAACCCAGCACTCGAGGTGTGAGATCGCCGGCATCCCGTCCTGCCTGTCCATGCTGGGACCAAGACGTAGCTGAGCCAGAGCCCAGAGGCTGCTGTGCAGCCCTGAGGGCAGCAAAGGCCATGCTGGGGGGAGCCGCTCCCCTCTGCCAGCCCGATGGCACCACTAACATCCTCACGATTCAAGAGGCAAAGCCTGGGAAGAGCCAAAGCCTCTGGATGGCTTCACCTCGCTGTCTGGAAAGGCATCAAGGGACGGGAGAGCTGGAAGGGACAGCTAAATCGTACGCACCACCTACAACGGTGCTGTGGACAAGAGTTAATTAAAGTTTGATTGCTCTCTTTGCAGCTTGAACGAGGTGATGCTGCTCAAACACGCTAGATGTCTGCAAGCTGTCACGTCAGTCTTTAAAGCACACAAAGCCCTGCACGGCCATTTGCAGGTCGGGGCCAGCGCAATCCGGGAAGGCAGGCGCAGACAAACGCTGCGGCCATGCACCGGCCAGAGCTAAGGGAGACAGCAGAGACCTCCCCGCCACCAAGGCAACTGCCAGCTTCGGCCCAGATCCAGGCCTTGGCCAAACTGACACTCATAAACTCGGGGAATTGCAGGGAAACCAAATTAATTTCCTCGACTGAGGCTCCAGCAGTTGGTTTAAAGGCAGCGGAGATAAAGCCACGACGTTTATGGGGCAGGAGGGAAGGTGGCGGGGTCAAAGTTGTTCTAGGCTAGATACCCATGCCTTAATCCCGCTTTCCACTACAACAGCTTCAGGCCCTTAGAAAGAAAACATTTTTATAGGATTTACATTTACATGATGATTACAAATAACCATCTGTCTGCTTCCACTTTCTCAATCTGGTCCGTGTCCCACGAGCCCCCAGCCTGTGGTCAGAGCAGCTAAGCTGGGAGGAAGGAGGCGGCTTTGGGATAATTGCCGCCTTCTCCCACCAGCGCTCAGGGATTCCCGGGGATGGCAGGGAGGGAAAGACTATCTTTTTTGCCTCTTTCAATGAATGATAATGTCTTAAAACACAGCTACATCTGTTGTGCTGACCAGAGGGTATAAGGAGATATCAAGTAAATATTAATGTGCTTTGGTAACTTGGGCCCTAGTAGTTTATCTTCCCCCTCCTATTCTGTGTCGTGCTTATCTCAGGATAATATTATTCTCATACAAAGATGTTTCACAGCCACATCGGCGGCAGGTTGGTCACCTGCCACATGCAGGTAGGTCTCCCCTGATCCGAGGCACTGCCCCACAGACATTTCCCAAAATCCCCATCTCTCGGCCACTGCTTTGGTGCTTCTCTCCTCCGATGCACGCTGATATGCACAATCAACATGAATTATTATGTCAAATAACTGCCCAGGTGTCATGCAGTGGACAGATTAAAGGATTATTATACTTTAGGTACTGAATGGTGCAGAGGGTATTTTAGAACTTGGCTCTATGACTTGATCTACTGAAATGGTCCCTGGGCAAGCTGGCACTACCTGCTGAAACAGAGTGACAGGAAAAAACAAGG